TAAACTGACATGGAGGAAACAGGAGGGTTGGCTAAAGCAAAATTTTGCCCTAAATCTTACAGATAGTGTTAGGTCATTTCTTTAATTTCAGCTTCATCTAGTTGTCCTTGTTTCTATGAAACAGGCAGAAAATGCCGCGAACGATGCCCTTATTGCCGCTTGAAAAGGCTGCTCCATTTCTCTCTGCTTAACACCAAAAACATTTCTCCAGAGTTGCATCTGCAAGTGGCCAAAGGGACAATGATCTACTCCAGATGTGAGTTTGGAACTGCTTTTTCCTTTTTGAGTTTTTTTGGATAAATCCTTTCTGCTGATTTACCAACAACATTTGTTCTTTCTGCAATTGCTGTACTGTACCCAGTTAACGGATGGTAATTGAAAAAACTGAATATCGCATTGCTATAAGATCTTCCCTTCGGAAAATGATTTCGCTGAAGGTGTCCGTTGCCAGTTCTTGGTGACCAAGGATCAGGTTTGCTCCTTATTTGTAGTTCCTTTCTCAACTTATGACAGAGGATCAAGAAGTTCTAATTTATTGATTCAAGGAATGCAATTTTTGAAAACAAAATGATTAGGCATATATATGCATGTATTATTTCGCGTTACCCATAAAAAATGATTTTTTACAAAGTTAATTTGATTTTCCTTTTCCTTTTCCTTTACCCCGCGACAAATCTTTAAATCCAAGCAATAGGATTGGAGATTGCTAGTTTTGTCTTCAAACAGAATTTTACTAATTGGTTTCTTTTTTCTGCATTTGCAGAACCCAAAGTGGGCCCCACAAGCTATCGACGAAGTAAGACCCAAAAGCGGGTGGAAGCACTCTTGAGCCACTGGCCCCAAAAATTGAGGAACTGAAAGCTGAACTTGCATCTCTGCCTGTCATGAGGTCTTAGTATACTTCAGTTATAGCATATAAACGAATATTGTGGTCATATCCAAAATAAAAACCAAGTGGTTGAGCTTATTGATTTTTAATGATTTGTTTTCCCAAGAAATCCAGTGGCTATAATTTCAAAAAAATAGCCAAAGCTCTGTTCTCTTCTCATTCAATATATTTTTAAGCAGTTGAATCTTTTTATAATGCATTTGAAAACAAAAATGTGTAACACGAATTTTCTTTTGAAACTAGACTTGCTTTAGACATACAAATGAATATTGATGTCCGAAACGATAGATATGACTTTCGTTGAGATTTTTACTCATGGCAAGAAGCACAATAAATCTCGTTTTTTGGTCGCGTCTGTAGGGAAGAATTCCAAGTTGCTGGAAACCAAAAACTCAACAAGCCTGCATATTATAATATGTTATAATTCAACGCCTATCTCTCCTTTCCAACAGAGAAGGATATGGTCTAGGAACAATCTCCACTCCTCAGACTCTGTAGCAGCTTCAAGTACCCAAACTCTTCAGGTCTAATATATCCTACGACATGTAGAACAAATCCAAGCAATCATCTTTTTTTGGCGGGGTAATTGAGCTTTATTTAACGAAAACAGAAAATACAATCAAGATCACATTAATTTCAAGAATAATGGTCTCCCTTAAAAACTTGCCTTGAATCAACAACCAGCAACAAATGCACAACCAGGAGCTTCTTTTCCCTTTTTATTTTTATTTTTTATTGTTCTAATATTTATTTATTTATTTGCAGAGGAAGAAGAGAAGGATAAGGGAGCCAACTACTATTAATTAGTTTTAAACCCTAAGAATTAAGTGGAAAGACGAGAACAATTTATTTAGAGTGTGAAATCTTGGCTGATTTGTGGGGTTGAGTTATGGCCCCAAGCCCTAACAACAATGACAATCTCTAACCTAATGTATTGTTAATGAGACTCAAAGTCTCAAAGCCAAAGTCGTTTCAATGTTGTCTTTTGTGACACATGGATGTGTAAATTAGTGATAGCTTTTGTTTCACAAACTTACAGTTTAATTGCATATTATTACGCGGAGGGAACGATTTTTGGAGCACAAACTTGTTTGGCAAAGGTTTTTTTTTTGCTTTTTGGCGCTAAAATTTACAAAAACAAAATGACTTAAAATAGCTAATAAGACAAAAGTTCACATCAAATTATAATTATTTCACTTTTTCTTCTCATCAAATTATCACATCCAACTACAAAAAAACTAACTAATCTTTCAAATACAGACTATTTTAGCCCTACTAAAATATTCAAAAAATTAAAATAGTCTACTAAAAATAGCCAATTTCCCAAATAAGGCCTACGCAAGGGTGAGAAAATAAAAAATAATATAAAAAATAAGCAATAACAGAAAGCAAGCAAAGCAGAAAAATGTACCATGTCGAAACAGGGAAATCAAGATGACAAGATTGCAATTTGGTTTGAAAAACTGCGTTCTTCCGTATGACAGTTTGCGCAACAAATCTGCTACGGGTATCAATTTGAAGCTCTCGACCCTCTCGCCACTGCCACATGTAACAAGTGATTGCAAAAAATTGGAGCTTTTGCAGCTAATAAATGAAGATAAAATGGGAACAACAGTTCTATATGGGAGATGGCAATTTTCCAATATTGGATTAGTAAAAATGATAGAAGTATTAGCTTATAAACTCGATTCATGGTTGAAGGAGAAGCCAAACTTTGATATATCTAACCTATTTCTTCATTCATTTGTGTCATTTAATGACATTTTCTCTCTGTTGGGGAGTGGCGGAAAGACGGCTTTGAAGGCTTACCTTGATTCTTAGGAATAAAACCTTCAGGAAGTTTAAATCATAACAAAATAAAACATCTCTCTTGTATCTGAATCCATCATATGTCATTGTAGGGAGACAGCGCAACGGTATAGCTCTGTGAAACAAGCACTTCTGATTCCATCAATAATGCAGTTCAAAAAGAACTAGAATAAAGGACTTAGTGTGACAGAATCTTATGTCAGGTGGAAGAACTCACTTTCTATTACATACAAAGTGATGTATAGAAACAATGAATAATATGTATCAAGGAAAAGACAAAGCCTTACTCATTGGAAATGGAACTCGTATCCCTGCTTCGCTCTTCCATTCCTTCCACAAGATTCTCCCCACATTGCAAAATCATGAGGCTGTAATACCATCTGTGCAGATTATGTGCCCAAAAGATTTTTGAAACAAAATCAAGCGGAATGAACAACAAGAAAAATAAAAAGAAAAGAAGTCTGAGACAGATAAAAAGGCCATGCTCTTCATTTTGATTGACAATCCTCCAAATAAACGGAGTATGATGTCATATCACTGGGAGCCTTTTGAGAAAGGCATGCATAGAATTAAAAAAGGGGAATTACTGCCCCAGTGGGTCAGAATAAAAAAAAAAATTATAAAACATGGTTGCCATCCTCACAAATTTTCACTTGAACTCACCCAACTGATAGAATCACTGTGCACCCCATGTAATTTTTTTTTTTTTTTAACTCTCCTCTAGAACATGATTCTCCCAAATTAAAATAGGGATAGATAAATTTGGGACAGATGTCGCCACAAAAACAAATAT